AGCTTATGTTGGCTAATGTTAGCAAAGATTATGCTAGATAATGCTGTAACTGACATTGCTGAATCAGTCAATTGATTTATAACTCTTGTGTTACGGTTACATTACATTTTAACATTCATCAGTATCCCATAAAGGTCACCGTTGCAGCTAATTAGCCAAATTTAAATAGCTGCAACGGTCTTGCTTTAAAGGTCCAGTGTGTAACATTTAGGAGGGTCTATTGGCAGAAATGGAATATAATATTTAGGTTTCCATTAGTGTAGAATCGTGTTTTCGTTACCTTAAAATGAGATCAACAAGAAGGAGTGGGTTGGTGGGCCTGCCATGGAGGCCATCATGTTGAACCACCATGTTGCCGAAAACAGACAACAATACACTGACACTAACACTGCATCGGGTGTTTTGTGAGGCGAGATGGTTGCAATCTGCAACTACGCCGCTAGATGATCCTACACGCTGGTCCTTTAACCCCTGAGATAAATGCATTTCTGTCATTCAAGAATCAGATATTGATGCTTTTTTAGTAAAAAATACTAACTACGAGTTTGTTGTGAGTTAAAAATTTAAGTTCAAAATGTGTAACTGGTTAGCTTTCCTCAAATGCACCGGCAGCAAATAAAAGGCTAGACTATCAAATCAAACGTTTACTGAACTAATTTACACTTGTATATTTTTGTGAGGAATCGCCAAAGGACACAGCACAACTTCCACAAAGACAAACCTCTATTACTCTCTCTCTCGCTCGCACACAAATGCAGTCTCACACACACGTACGTCAAAAGGCGGTGCTAGTAGTAGTAAACATTTGAAAGGAACAGGGGTAATTCACTTGATAAATGTCAACCAAAATGAAGCTATCAGCTGAAAGCAATTTCCTTGTGCTTGCCTGTGTTCTGCGCCAGGGACTTGGGAGATTTTCACCCCTCCATCGATCATGAAGCCTCTGTTTTAGGCCAAGGTACACAATGCCCTCAAATTGCTGACATATGGACCTAGAATCACCACAAAAACCTGCCATTTCCACCCCTCCCCTCCCCTGTCCCGACCCGGCCACTCCTCTGCTAAACTCTTGTTTATCCAATGACTCCGGTCTGTTTAGGCCATTAAAGCAAAGCCATTCAGGGAGACAGAGGGCCAAGGCAAATGTAATAAAGCCACAATCTGTAGCGTGCAACTTAGTGCTGGTACCAACTAACACCACAGATGACTAAAACCACCATTGAATCTGCATTGTCACTAAAGCTAAATTGCTTTTTTTTCCATTTAGAAGACATCAGACAGCATTTTGATAGATGTAATTAGTAGTTTGCAATGTTACAGCGCTGTAATCATCAAATGACTGGGTGACTATAAGACCAAGTGTGTGGGCAAACTTTTAAATTAAACCTGTCTGCCATGTGGGCTGCCTGCGACCAGTAGCAGAGGAAGCAAAACAAATCATGATAAAGATGAAGACACGGACCACATAATAGTACGGAAAAGCCTCTAGCTGGTGTAAACAGGGGAGAGATGAAAGCAGAGCCATGCAGTGTGTCGCCGGGTAGGTTTTCCCATTCAAACATTTCTTCACTTTGAACAACTACTCGTACTGCAATCTCTGACCGTGGCTTTAAAAGTGCAGCTATTTAAAGACAAAGGGGGCCAAGTGCACAACATTAAAAAAAAAAGTTTCCTAATGGACAACTGCGATGCCAGCAGCCAGGGCTTGGAGATCTGTACACAGGAAAAGTCCATTATCACTCTGACTAATGGAGGAGGGAGGCGACTTCAAACCAAAAGTGGAGAAAAAGAAAAGAAAACAAGAGCGAGAAAGATGACGCACATGGTACAAAGCAGTGTTTCTTTAATGGAGTCCATCAATAATGTTCCTTTCCCGGCTTTATTGTCGAGAGAGCAGCCGTATTATCAATCCTAGACATGGGTAGAAATTAAAGGCCCTTTTTTTTTTTTTTTCTCAAGTGCATTTTTTAACAGACTTTGAATCAATGCGAAACAAATGTTTGGCAACACGCTAATGATATCCTGCATCTCTGGAACAAACTCTCTCTCCCTTCTTCTCTCTCACTCTTGCCACCAAGACAAACCCGCAGCCAGTTTACATTCAGACGGGTGCGCTTGTTTTATATAAACAGACGGCCCTTGTGGCAAGGGGTTTGATTAGGAGGAGGCCCGCAAATCCCATTAAAAGTCCATTCGTCCCTCGCTTGGTGTTTGTTTGAAGACAGGAAGAGTAACAAGGGAGGAGGGAGGTGACTGGCAGTCTGTCGTTGTTGTTGTTTCCGTGCCAATTTCTGTTTATGCACCGACGGTTAAACACAGATATCACCCAGCAGTGAGGAGCAGATCTTTGCCAGCGATGTGGGCACGGTTTCTGCCAGGCGTACCAAAACACTGTACAACAGTCCAGAGAGATGTTCTTCACCGTCAGACCTCATCAAAAAAACTGTATTATTAACACGACAAGAATGACATGTTGCTTCTGTAATGTGTGTCCATCTGTAGGTTCGTTTCTTATCATCGTCACAGTCAGCCTAACAGCTCCTTGGTCTTGGCTGCAAGCTGTTTGTCAATGTCCACTGCAATGTTGTCCGAGAACTGCTGAATCTGTGAAGGCAGAGGGGGAAGATGGGTAAACCATTTTGAATACATCTTTCGGGATCATTTCTTACCTCCCTGTAGCGTATGTCTAGTAAATGATAACATTATGTAGCTGCGATGTGATGGAATGTGACAGGACCGATGATTCACTTCTCACTTTGGTGCCAACTCACAAATAACAGTAAAATACTACAACGGGAAAGCAACTATTAGGAAATGACTTCATTCTTTAGTTATAATTTCCTTTTAGAGAAAGCTGTAGCCTTGGGCGGTTTGGGCTGCGGTTACAATCGTTTCAGGTCTTAGTAAGCTCTAGTTATCAGTTACCTCCCTGAATCATCTGTAGCATCCAGCCACTCATCTCAACCTTCCTTTAAAACTTTCTTCCCTCAGCCTGATCTATTACTTATGACGCTCAATGAACGCCTCTGCATCTATGTGCAATAGCCCTGTTGTCTTTTTCTCCCCCCGTCTCCTACCTGTTTTTCTACTAGTCGTATGGTATCCTCCGAGTGTACTTCCTTTGCCTTTTTGACCTGTGTAACAGCATTAGATCGTACTCTCCTCAGTGAGTCTTTTGCCTTGTTGCTGAACTGTTTGGCCAGCTTCACCAGGGTCTCTCTGTGTTCCCGCGTTACTCTGCAGGGAAAGGAGGAGATGAGGGGAAAAGAGAGGAGACCAAAAGAGTAAGAAACAAAGCAGACAAGGAACCACTGGGACACAGTCAAAAGGATTACACCAAGCAAGGATCCACACACACAAACCCATCTGTGCCCTTTATGTCTCTGGCTGCTGATATAGCTTAGCTTTACTGATGTCTATGGGTTGTACACTAAGAAAATGTTTATTAAAGGATTGTTAAGCTCTCAGTGAAAGGCAGTCCCTCCCGGAAGGTGCAGTTGCAACAATTAAAGCAAATTCAACCAATCCCCACGAATCCTGTGTGACCTTTCGTTCCATCAATGCAACTTTTCTGCAAACGTAACCAATCATTGTAGTTTCCTTCACAAAACGTTGAGCCAAACTTCCTTGTTCCTAGTTGCAGGCAATGCAGACATGTATGAACAAGTTGCCTTCAATATTTAAAGAATAATTTTAAAAAGCAACTATTTTTGCTGTTTTTATTTTCTCATGCAATTTCATAGCAGAAAAAAAAAAAACACATCACAACATGCGTCGCAATTTTTTAGACAAGCTGCAATTAAATCTGGCGTTCTAGGCTGCAACAATCCCCCCAAGGAAAAGCCTGGAGGGACTGGAAAGTGTACTTTTTTTTTAGGAGCTGCTACAGCACTTGATATCAGACATCTAGGAAAATAAGATAAACTAGGCAAAACTTTCAACATGCCTTCAAACTGCACACAGAGACCTAAAAAGAAAGGGTTAGTCAGACTCTTGATCGGTCCTCTGGAAAATACAAAACACATAACAGTGCAGAGATGAAATGATAAAAAAAAAAAACTATAATGTCCTCACTTGTGCAAATGAGAACGTTAAGTGCTTGTAGGCCCGAAGTCTAATCATTTTAGCTCGGACTTGTAGTTAACGACAATCACTCGCCGAGGTCTCAGACCAGAGCTGAAACATCCGTCATACCGACAACTTTGTATTCACTTTGCATTCGTTAATCACTCAGAAAATCCTACTTCCCATTTCACTCTCCCCCTTTGTCCTTAATTGGCTTTTTTTCGTTGTTTTTGCCTCGGGGACTATTTGCAAACAATCCAAGTGCAGCGTCTATTTACCGCAAACAATACGGCCTAATTACTGATTCCAGGGCCAATCAAGGAGCGCCTTCTCTTTGGAAATGCAAATGGAGGCTCGGAGCGTGCCGAGACTGATTGCAGGGGGAAAGCAGTCTGACTCTTGTCTCCCTCCTCTGCCAGACTAACACCTGCTGCTCCAGTGCACACGCACGCAC